AACGCGGCAGTTGGCGGTGCAGTTGGTACTTTCATACTTTGTTTGATATCCTAATCGCTTGAAATATCATGCAGGACAACGTCTGTCGGTTTAGGTAGTATAAGTATACATTTATTTTTTTAAATAATATATAAATTGGTTCAAATAATAGACGACAAAATTATTGTGTGTGTGACATATAGAGTATAATTTTATGTCTATGAAAATGAAATTTGAAATTTAATAACTAGTATGTATTAATGAATTGTAAATTTACCTAATAGTTATTTTTTTAAATATTAATTGATTTAAATACTAAACGACAAAATTAGTGTGGGAGTGTCTTTTAGACGTAAACCTAGAGTATAACTGTATGTCTAAGCTGATGCTAAATTTTTATTGTTTTAATTAATAACATATAGTATATTCTAATAAAAACATCAAAAACGCAAACGCTAAAAGTATCACTTCGTCGGGTCGAGGTATGTTGAATGAATCTAATTTTTCCTGTTTTTCTCTTATTCCGAGGGGCGCTCCGACATTTTGTAGTGTTTGTGATCATTTTAACCTTAAACGTTTTCTGTCATGTTCCCGCTTTTTAAATTGCTCCCTTTTTTACTCCCACTTAGTATTCATTAGCTAGTCATATTGTTAGAACGCTTTTTCTTTATATTTTTTTCATTTCTTTGTATATTACCTTTTAACACATTAAAACGTTCATAAGGAAGTGCCATATATGAGCTACATTTGAAGCATTGAAGTATGAAATCGAATTTGTTTAAATAAACTAGATTCCGAATTTCTAAAAATATTAAATTATATTTTGGTTATACTTCCTTATTTTAAAGCATTGATATATAACTTCTTTATTATATTTAAAAACACAAACATTACTTATATTTAATGTAATTATAAAGTAACAACAGTATTCGACAAAACCATCTCATTAAAAACCACATTTTTTTCACGAGGAAGGGTTTTTTGTCATAACTCATTCCTCGGAAATGTTTTTTGGCGAAACTTGAAAATTTATTAAGCAATTAGCGGTGAGCTTCTCACGGAGGACATTAGAAAACTTTCTTATTGCACATAAAAACTGCTTTTTTTGGACACCTGCTCGCTGCTGAATAATTTAAGTTACAGACAGTAAGTACCTCATTTAATAATTCCTAAACTAAAACAAAAGAATGGTGACATAATATTATACACTAAGCAATTTCATTATATCTTGATATCTTGTAACAGATAAATTATATTTGTGTCTGTGTAATCTATGTGTTTTTAAAAAGTTACAATAAGTGTATTATTATACCAAGCTGAATACAAAAAAGAAAAAATATATTTAAAAAAGAACGAATTAAAAGGGGAAAGAGAAAAATGTGCAAAACGTTAAAAATTAGATTCTAAAATGAGTTTTGACTGTTACATCTTGTCGAGATGGTAATTATGAAGAGTGACCGGGGTAAAACTGTCCAGGAGAATGGTTAAAAAAGCTTAATGACGCTTTTAAACTTAATAGCTTTTATGCAGAGTTGATAGGGTTTTTTAGTATCGTTGATTTTTAAGGTAGAGTAGAACATTTTAATAACGATATCGAAAACGCTTAAAGAAAAATTAACATTATTTGATACCTGTAACATTAACTACCGAATTAAAAAATTAAATAAAAATAAGTCAATGGCGCTACAACCTTTTTAGGTCTGAGCCTCAGATTTCTGTTGTGATCTGATTCATGATAATTTGTTAATCTAATAGGCATGTAGGTGATCATCCTTCTGTGCCAGACGCACGCGCTCTTTTTGGGTCCTAAGGCAAGCCGGTTTCCTCACGATGTTTTTCTTTACCGTTTGAGCTAATGTTAAATGCGTACATAGAAAGAAAGTCCATTGGCGCGCAGCCGGGAATAGAACCTACGACCTCAGGGATGAGAGTCGGCATACTGAGGCCAACACTACTCAAAGTACCTATTTAGTATCTATGTTTCAAATGGATATTTAATTAATTCCTACTATTACTTGTATTTGTAACCTAGTTGTAAGCTTTCTGATTGATTAATATTGATAGAATATATGGATTAGTTTTCAGAGTTTTTATCACATTTTTAAAGATTACATAATAATACTAGCTGATCCGGCAAACGTTTCGCCATTTATATCAATTATAATAAAAAATAGGGGTTGATCGTAAAGGGGTAAAAATTAGGGGTTGTATGTATTTTTTAATGCTGTATCATAAAAAATAAAGAATAATTTTTTTATCTAAAATTAAAAAAAAAGATATACATTTTTAGCAATCTCTGTGTAAGTTTCTTAGTAAATATACTTAAACGACGTATGCAGTGATTCACTCAAAGGAAAAACAAAAACAACATGAAAACAACTGTCCCTGAATGTCAAAAGTGTCTCAATATCGGAACAAAACAATCGAAATTTGAATTTTAAATACGCGGGCATTTTGAGATTTTTTTCTTTTGAGAAAGATAATAAATCTTTTCGCAATAACTATAAATTCATTGGGGATCGACATGCAAATGCGAGTTTTTTTCGACAACACGTATCAAGTGCTTTAGAACAAAAACTATAGAGAAGTTAGTGATTATTATTGATTTTTAAAAATACAATATTGTTTTAACGCAAATAAAATAATAAGAGTATATAATTATGTGGATAGAAAATCACTAGTGGAAAACACTGTAGAACATTTAAAAGTATATAAATCTTGATTAAAATTCGTCGCATACGCATACGTTGTACGGTACAGTATTTTTCGTACGTCAACTTTACACTCTTCACACTCTTCTGTATATTTACCGAAATTATTAATTATTTAAACTCAGGACTCCGAGTCAACGATTTAAATCTTAATATATAATAAACTACGGTCTCTGTACAATAGTTTTTTTATTAAACACTGATTTTAGTATATGTTTGATATGTTCACACACTCAATATACTAAATCAATTGACTTTGGGTCATATTGATCATTGACACGTTTGTGTTTATTGAATTTGTTTGAGCGAACGACTGAATTAGTAATTTATGTAACTTTTTTAAATGACTTAACGATTCTTTTTTGTTTTATTTAATATATCTTTGTGCTTGCACAATAAAATCATTATTTCTTTCGGTTGAAGTTATTAATATTAAAGATCAATAATGTTTCGATTATCTGTTAATTTAATTAAAGAAATAGCTAAGAGGTTAGTCGACATCATAGGAGATCGAAGAGCTGGCAGCTTCCTCGGACAAAGAATTAGTCTAGCTATTCAAAGGGGGAACTCTGCCAGTATCTTCGAAACCTTGCCTAAAGGGGATCCTTTTAATAATATATTTTAGTTATTATATTATTGTTTTTAAAGTTTTTAGTTTTAGATTCAAGGAGGCTGAACTATGTTTTTTTAGATTATTATTGTGTAAATTGTAAATAAATTTTAGAATAGTTTGTAATTAAAGTTAGGATACAATTCAAAAGGAATTCAATTGAAGTTCCCAATTATTATTTTTATATATTGGTCTTAGTATATAAGGTGATAAGGTAGTATAGAAGGTAGAAAGGAAAACTGTCTAGTTAAGTTACCACCATACTATTGTAAACTTTTTTTTCCTGATTATGTATACAATAAATTAAAAAATGCGTAAAGACGACTCCGCACCACGATTTCCGCGGCGTAAATACAAAAGTATCAAGTACTCGGTATGGTTCAGTTTTTATTTTGCCAAGTTCCGCTCAACGTCCGACTTTAACGTTTTTTCATGCACCTGTGCCGTTTCTTGTACAATGTAATAAATGTAAATGGCGCTTTGTTGCTTTTAAATGGTGTAATAAAACATGTATATTTACTTATTTAGATAACATCGTTAGGGGTAGAAAATCTTTTTTGAAACCATTCTATATTCAAATCTATAAGAACTTGGTATTTTACTTGAAGTATTTCAATTGTTGATTTTGTGACCATTGACAATTGTTACGAGACGCAAAATTTATATATTCCTTAGTAATGTTCTCACTTTTGATTCCCTAAAACGACCGGTGTTTATGTTTATCATACCACTCATATGAGGATATATATATGAATCATTGTGTGATTGTTTGTAATTCTAAAATTAATACCTAAGCTGGCGAAAATTTTTTGTGTGTTTTAGCGGATTCTAGAACGGTTTACAATTTTATTATTTGTTGTTTTTATAAAAAAAATTGTATCTAGAAAACCTATTAGACAGCAAACCTAATAATCTATTACTTGTAGATTTAAGTCCATATTTTAGATATAAATTTCTAAGTCAATTTTAAAATGTATTTGAGATAAGGAACTACTGTATCTATGGTGTATAATGACGTCACGGAGTGAATTACTTACCAAATAATTACTAAATAATTCATGTACCCGTGCCGGATATGATTGCGAAAATCCGTAAAATTTCAATGTACACTTTGACAATACAATAACTCAAAAAATACAATGCAGATGTACCACTTCCTTACCACCTTGTACGCATCTGCGAAAAATAGCGCGAATCTCGATCGGAATAAATTGTTATCGCCGCGGGCGCATTCGTGCTATGTACAGGTTAAATTAATACAATAGACCATAGATTTTTGTATCCGCTGCTAGGTCTTATCGGACTTCCTATATTGCGTTTAAAGGGTAATTGTTTGATAGAATTTAAAAAAAGAATATTGGTTGAACCAATACCCCACATGTGTTTTGGTAGCTTTGTTAAAATTTACAAATTGTTTAAATCAACATAGCTACCGCTACAACGTTGGTGTGTTACCAGAATTAATAATTTATTTAAATATCCATAAAATAATTTAAAATGTGTTCTTTAAATTAATTAATAAAATATAAACTCATTCCAACTTCAAAAAATCATAAATTTGTGTTTCACGTTTGAATTTAGAATTTTAATGACATCGAAACTTTAAAAATCAAGTTAAAATGAAATTCCATTTAAAAAAATCTTTATCTATATTTGAATTTAGAACTTTAAACAATAAATAAGGCCAATAAAACCTCTTTCTATTTTGTTTTTATAAAAGAGGTTGTATTAATTCTGGTTACAAACCAAATGTCATTGGAAGATAACGATACGCATTGAAACAGGTGCCAACTCACTCGTTGCAGGGTAGACCAGCATTCTTCCAGGGTTCGCTCGCTGATTGCCTGACCCGATCTCGCTTGTTGCTGTTGAACGAGACACATATTAATTTTATTGATTACTAAATAAATAAATAATAGCGGTAATTTTCAGCGACGGAAGACTACAACCACACAATTTAAATATTATTATGTAAAACATTAAATTTAATATAAGAACTTGTTCTTATATTTGAAATTAGTGAAAAGCAAACCCAAGCAGTGTTAGAACTGTTTTATGGTGAAAAAAGATTAATTGAAGCGAAACTTAGTTAAGTTTTAGAAAACGAATACACTGCCAATAACATTATGGGAACTCATTTGATTTTATTGCATTTGTTCTGACGATTAACGAAGTTGCTAGCTATGTTAAAACTATAAAAAACCATGCAACGTTAACGCTTGTAAACAATTTTATAGGCTGGCAACACTTTTAATTTTTTTACTAAAATATTTTTTTATACATTGTCATGATCCGTTTAATTACCATACAATAATTCGTTCTATATTTGAAACCATAATTATTGCTTTCCAATGTAATTAATTTTCAGTCAAGTACTAAGTACTATCAAATGAGTCACCACATGAATAAAGACAGAAAAATAATTACATCAATATTCAGGCTATTCAGGAAATTTACCAATGCGAAGGGCAACATTGAGTTTCGATCGCCGATCGGGGCTTCCCCTGTAGGCGACTGCTGAGGCTGCATGTAACAAAACCGGTGTTATTAGAAATTATAGTAAAAATCGGCAACTACTTCTATGGATTATTAGCTAAATACTTTAAAAGTAATAGAACAATGGTAATTTTCTTATTTTGTAAATACATATATGTTTCTGTCATATCCAAGTGAAATCGGTTTAGTGCGTGCGTGATACACCATCATGCATTTTTTTAATATTCTATATATATCTTCGTAAAATTATTGAGTGTATATTCGATGTATCAATTCATAATATACTCTAAAGATAATTTTAACACTGTTATTAGCATCTAAGAAGCAAAGGTCTAGAAAGCGTTATAGAATTGTCTAAGTACTATTATATTAAAAGAACATTAAAAGAACAAACAAACCAAACATGCATTCAAATCATATTCAAAATAACAAGCTAAACTATCACCCAATAATTAATTTAAAAAAACGAACTTAAAATAATAGAAAAATCCCAGAAACAAGCCAGTTGTAATGTATTAAAAGTTCGCGTTCTAAATTTAAATTAAATGAACAATCACAAGCCATAGACAAACCCAGCAGACCATAAAGAAATAGTATTTACATCGACATTATTGAGTGAGGACAGTAAATTTACCAGCGCAAACGGCACAAGAGATCGTTCGCTCATCGTTGAATCTGCTGATGGTGACTGTTGTTGCTGTTCCGTTTCAACGTATGATGAAGAGGCATGAAAGAAAGAGATATAAGATTAGATTTTTATCAGGCTTTAGTTATGCAAATGATTTTACACAAGTAGACCTAAAATAAATGAATCTATTTCCCTGGTTTTCGACCTAGAACGCATGTTCTTTGAAAACGTGTATTTTACTTAGAAATTAGCCATTTGCTTATTTTATTTTTATTATTTTGTTAAGAAAAATATTCAATTTAACTATTGAGCTAAATGAAATGAAATCCCGCTTATAATAACAAAAAACAAACTGAATGTTTTGAGAGGAAACTCTTGAAGCGACATCTGAAGTTTTAATAAATCAAATTTTAATTAACCGTTCGGTGAAAAAAACCAACCACAAAAGCGCAACTCCGCGTCGAACCGTTAAATTTGTTAGAAAAAATCGATGAATACGAAATTCGAACTGGATATAACCGGTTCTTATTCAAACAAAATTTTTAAAGACAAAAAAAATGGAACGAGCAGATTTGCTGTAACAAATAACTGTCAACACCCCTTCCGTGAAACAATGCGCGTTGTAGAAATTAAAAAAAATAAAATCACAATAAGTCCCTAATCCGCGGTGCCGTGGGAAACAGACAAATGCAAGGTGAGCGAATCCGAAACTAATTTAAAAAGTAATATTCTTTTGTCTTCAATTCGAATATTAAATTTAAACTTGTATTACTTTTAATTTTAAAAGTTCACGTAAATCTAATATTTTAGATTTTTTAATATTGCAAATTAACTTCAAAGAAAACTATTAACTAACTGTCAATGACTTTTACAAAACAGATTTTAGCCGGTTTATAAACAAATAATTTAAATCAAACCCGAAACAAAATCTTACCGATAAAGCATTAAATTAATTTACGCATGATTTCCATAAAATTATGTCAAAATTTAAAGCGTTTCATAAATTATTGATAACGTAATAATACGTGTAAAACCATGCCATATGTCCAAAACAAACATTTGTTTAAAACCGAAAAACGTTGACATGTTGATCACATACTAATACAGAAATAATAGAATTATCACTGATTATCGTAATTTACATATCCTTTGTAAGTACCGGATACGACATAAGGACAAAAACGATTTAATAATAAGTTTGACGCCCGGCCCTTAACCCTTTAACAAAAGTTTTACAATATGTTATGCTTCTTGTCTTTTTTTAAGGAAGCCAGGATCTTTTTGAGACCACGTAAGGTCAGTCTATCGATATAACTTGGGGATGGTAGACGTTCGAAATTTAAATTCTTCCAAGGTTGTTTGTACTACTTTGAGATTTGATTTTGGAAAATATTTGTAATCGGTTTTTCACTTTTGTTTTTAAGGTAATGTTTGATTTCTTGATAATATATTTCTAGATTGAGTTTAAACTTTCTTTTGTTTGTGTATTATTTTGATTAAATGCTTTAGAAATTTACATTCTACTTATACCTACGCTATTGTTTTATGTGCAAAAGAAATAATTAAAATATTTAAATTAATTAAGTTACTGCGATAATATTATCATTTAATATTTTTTTTTTTATTTGGCGCTTTGAATTAACTTGACATTGTGGCTTTAGGTGAAGTATTTACAGGAAAAACGACCTACACAAATCCTACCAAAAACTAAAAGACTCACCTGTATTTCACTAACAAGTTTTTCCGTCATAATCTTGTGGTCAGGAGTAGGTGGTGGTTGCGGAGTTGGAGGTGCTGGTCCTGGCTGTTCCTCCTGAGCTGGAGAGCTCGGTCTACTCCTGTTCCAAAAGTCCTGCATTTTGAACCTTTGGGCTTCACTTTGAATTGCGGGTATGTGTAGAGACAGTGGGGCCGCTCGTAGGTCTAAGGCACTACCCCCCGGGGAGGCCTCGTTACCTTCAGCGGCAGTCATCTTAAACGAGTTTTGGAGCCAACTTGTTACGAAGTTGTCTTCCTCCTTGGGCGCCTCCAGGAGGCGAGGGAACGGCGGCTCGGCGCTCGTCTCGAAGGCGCCTTCGCCGCCGACACTCTCCCCTTCCTCAGCAATTTTTGGAATTTTGGCCTCCCTCGGTGAGTCCTCTACCTCCTTCCGGTACTCATGGAGGTCCCTGTACCTCTCCTGGAGCGCTAGGGATATGTTCTCATTGAAGTACTTCAACATTAATTCCGGTTTCGGTCACAGAATCTGCGGAAGATAAGAGCGTGTGAGTCGCGGAATTTTTTCGCGAAAAGCGGAAGACCACTTCGAGGCGCGGGCGGGCACCGACTAACTTCTTGGTGGAAAACTTGGGATCGCGGCGGCTTCTTGCGGGGCGGGGGACGCGCGCGCCTCGGGAAGACGCCGCTCCAACTAACAAGATGCGCCGCCCCCGCCTTAGACGAACTGAAGAACATCCCCTCCGTCGTCGGGCGCCTGCGCCCAGAGTTTTTTCCGCGGAAAAATGCGTCCGGTCAAGGAAAAGACGCCGCGCGGAGCAACGGACACCCCCGGTCGGACCTCGGCCGAAATAAGAACTATCTAAAGGGCGCGAGTGTAACCCTCTCGCTCACACGACCCCTGCTTCGCACCCTTGTGTTAGAGCGGGACGGAAGACGTATTTTTTCTAAGCCGCTATTAGTAGGGAGGAAATAGAAAAGAATGCCTTTCTTTGTGATTTTTTTCTTGCTCTCTCTCGCTCGCACTCGTGGCAATTGAATAGGGTGTTAGCACGTATTTTTAAGGATTTCTTTTCGTTCCGCCTCTTGGGCTCTTTAATTTTTTCACGTACAGGCGGGGCTTAGATTATGGGGTTTTAGCCAACGAACTTTTTAAGCGTTTTGTTCATTTTTTACCTAGCTACGGAAAAAATGTGTTACACCCACTGACCGATAAAGTACCTACATATTCAATTATTTAATTAGTTTCTGTCTCGGAATTATAATATTACATCTTATTCTTAGTAATTAGATAAACAGACGGAAAAATTAAATAGAGCAATGCATCATCAATAGACTAACACAGCAAAGAGAGACAGTGATCTTAACACAAGTCAAAGGTTCCTTTCGAAGAGCTGTTTTGTATCTTCAAACCATTTTCTCTTACATTTGATTTTCTGCGTAGCTACCCCCCACTAGATGGCGTAGGGCGCTACGACATATCTACGAGAATACTTAAAACTGGTTTTATTCTAATCAAAATTGAATTTGGAACATAATATTTGTTTTAATGTAATATAAAAAATATTCTATTAAATATAATGGAATACGAAATTATTATTAAACTTACAAGAACACATTTAAAAGTATTTCTAAGATATTGTCTATAACAAAGCGTTTATCTTAGATACCAAGCCCACTTTGCATAAAAATGCATTATAACATTAATAACCTGCTATTATAGGATTATTCACGATATTGTATCATACATTTTTAAATGAATCATATTCATATTGTTCACAAAAGTGTTTAAATTTTTTCTCCTATGAATTCAAGGTATGAATAGAGCTATTTGCAACCTAAATTATAAGTGTTTTGTTAGTTGTAATATTTATTGAGTTACATTTAGGACCAATACTTATCTCATGTGGTTTAATAAATTGACATAGACGGAGACTATTTTAAATGAGAAATGAGTTTTGACCTGATTACCAAATTTTTTCTACCTTTATCAGCTACGTTTGTTTTATTTACAATGTATAGACTGATATTGATGAAGAGATTAACTTTAATGATTGCAAGTCATTACATAAACAATGATAGTTAGGTGGGGCGGTGGGTGTACACAGTTTTTATGTCACGGTACATGGATTCGATCAAGGCGGTGCTTACAATGCAAAGTACTTTATCGTAATCGCGCTAATTAGATGTTTACGTAAGTATACATTGTAGGTGGCGCTGTGTAGAATTTAATTAAATATTTAGTATATTATTTTATAATTTACAAATTAGACTAACAAAATATTTATTTTAAAAGTAATAATAGTTTAGTAGTAATAATTATAATAATGGAGTGGTCCTACAACCATATTTAGGTCTTGTCCTCAGATTGCATTTGCTTTGATAAATAGAAAGTTCGATTAAATATGTTTAAAATCACTCAATCACAGCTTTTCCAAATAATACGAATAGTGAACATTTAGGCTAAATTAAATACTAATTATTGAGGGTTGCTATCTAAGTTGTCACTGACATAACAACCTAGGTTGTTGCAGTAGTATGGGTCGTAAGACAAATGTGATCAGTTCCTTATACATTTAAAGCAACCCTGGGTTGTTGGTGAAGTCGAAAAAAGGTAGCGAAGATGGTTCCTTCTGTGATTGCAACCCGTAAAAACGTAGAAGGCTTTTATTTCATGCAATATGACTTTCAAGAGAACAAGATTATGTTTGGATTTAAGTATATTTCTACTTTGTTTAATAGAGTAAATTTTATTAGATCGTATTATTGAAAATCTTAAATTATTATACATGATAATTGTGACTTCATTATAAAAATATTGAAATGTGTAATGGACAACATATTGGTTGACTTAATCATGAAATATGTGTGTAAATGTGTTTAATGGTAGGCCCATAATTAGGCGTTACAACCATTTAGGTCTAGGCCCCAGATTTCTGTCACACCGTCGTCTTATTGGGTCTAAGGCAAGCCAGTTTCCACATTATGTTTTTCTTTACCGTACGTGAGTATTAAATGCGTACATAGACAGAAAGTCCATTGGTGCACAGCTAAGGATCAAACCACCTACCTTAGAGATGAGAGTTAGATTGAAACTACAAAGCCAACACTGCTCTATGGTACACATAACAGAGTCCGAAAGGAGTATTATTATATGCTACTTTATTAATTATTTTTAGCAATGTTATATGTTGGAAGCATTTTGAATGTTTTAGAAAATTTACTATATTTAAGCAAATAATTTACATGAAAGGGATTTATAATAAACGTTATGCTAGATCAACTATTTTGGGTTTTTATTGTTAACTTGCGTATGCGCATGCCGTGGAACAGACAGCTGGCGATCTGTCCATTGTTATAACTTACGTAATATCCTGCATACTTTTAACTGGACTTCAGATATACAAAATCCACCTCATACAGCCAAATGGTCTAATTGTATTTTGGTAGACATTTTTTTTAATAAAATGTATATTCTGTGTATTATAAACATGTAAAATAGTTATGTTCTTTATTAAAAGTATTATATTTTGAATGTGTTTAATTTTATTTATTTCCTTTCTTTAAGGGTAAATACCCTTAAAGAAAGAAATAAAAAAAAAATCAGGAAATTTCTTCCATATTTGATGATTTCATAAAACTACTAAATTAGATGGTTCTACAGCATTTCCAGTGTTATATAGTTCGGTATAGAAGTTATGATCATACATAAAAATCAACTTTTGTATCGCCAATACAACGCCAGTTCATCATGTATTGATTGTATATAAAAATCGTTTTCTAACTTGTCATCAGAAAATCTCTAACGTGGATAAGATCTATATAAACTATCATGTTACTTGGTATAAAACCAAAAATAAAACAACGTAACAAATGCTATCGTAATCTGTTCCGCCACTTGAAAAGATCAAATTGACCCTTTTTATGCAAATTGTCTATGTTATTTTTTGTCTTTAACCGGTTTGTATTCTATGACTATTGTCTATGGGAATTTTGATTTTAAGATAGAGGGTTGATGTCAAGGACTTTTTGCTAGACCCATCGTGAGAATGTTGTCGCAATACTTTTGCTGTTGAGTGAGTTATTGTTAAATACATATTACACTGCCTTACTTACACTGAGTTCTGAGTTATCTAATAAAAATTGATTTAATAATAATTAAATTAGGAAATCAGTTCAATTGCACCGTTATTAATTTAGTACTCATCTCTTTTCATCACATCGTAAACACAATTTGATAGAAAGAGTACATAACTTAAATATAGTGTTAAAAATTTGAATGATTTTGATTTTTATGAGTTCAAAAGATCCCATAATTTTCGGTTTCTAAAACTATTCATTCATAATTATCCTATATACTTGCGAATGTAATAATAAATGCATTCCTTTTAGGTAGGTTAAAAGATTGGAATATATCAGACGAAAATATACTCCTACCCAATGTTTTCCAACGTGGGGAGCACGCCCCATTGGGGGGCAATTTGATTTGCAACAATTTCCAAGTAATTAACACTTATCACATAAGAAACTTAAATGATAGGTTTTATCATTCAGCAATTCCATTTTGGATATTAAAAATTATGTATGTTACACAAAACATAAAATGTTAAATTATCCCCAACTTGAATCAATTCCGAAAACTATGTACAGTAACTACTAAACCGTTTAAAAGTTCCTAACAAATATTTAAAAATGTAGACAAATTTCCTTTAACTTTGCGTGAAAGGGGTTAGATAAAGAAGGCAATCCAAAAGTTATAAGCATTTGTAGCAAGGGACGTAATGACCGCGCGCACGCACTGCGACCTATTTTTAACAATTTTTCGATTACTAGTTCATTGAAACTATGGAAGCGGTATTTTAAAGTATATTTTTTAGTATTTATTGATTACTTTAGCCTCGACAATTTGCTGTAATAAAGATATAGTTGGGTATGTTTAAATAATACTATATTATCAAATATGACTGACTGGGTTTATGACTGGCAAGTGGCAAGAAATCATAGATTTGTGTGTTATTTGTTTATGCATTGTTGTTGTTTCTTTGTATATGTTTTTATTTTATTTTCTTATTTGTATTGTGTTCTATTTCTTGCCTGCTAAAAAAGTTTTTTATAGAAATTTTAAATAAAACTAACTATCTATTTACATATCCATTTTAAACAATTTGGAATTATAATTATATTAAAACAATCAAGACAAAATAAAAATAAATTTCGTCTAAGTCTATCTCCATGTTGTAGGAGCCAGTATTGAAAATAATTGATGATGCTATTCCGTGACTGACAAACGGAACTACCGATCAATACAGACTATAATGACAATTGACTTCTTTTTAATTTTTAAATTTGGAACGCGATTTATACTTTTATGTTCTATAATTATGTATATCGTATAAATAAATAGTTTGAAAAAAATGTTTTCATTTCATGTTTGAACTACTACTCACGTATTTTGTGGTGCGATTTGACCACATATCAATAATATTAACAAACGGCCAATTTGTG